GAGCGGTCGTGCGCAGTATTCTAGAAAGGCTTTTAGAATATTATGAAATTAAAAATACCTCCTTTTTTAATTTTTAATTCGTGTTCATTTTTTTTTTGTTATTTTATCCGTTTGGGGAACGGACCATGGGTCTGACCGTGGCTAGACTCAATCCTATCCATGTCCGTTTCGATACGGAGATAATCGACATTGTTGATCAATAGTCTACTTTCACCTTGACCTCTTTGATATATACTGACGTAAATAAGTGAGTGAGCTAGGAGAAGCGAGGAGGCTCTGCTGTAGGAGGCACAGCAGAGACAAAAACAAAGGGCGGAGGCAGACGCTCCGTGGAGAATGGTGTTGCTTTCGCCCAGTTAGAAGCGAGCAACCTGCCGTTAGCTGCAGTAGACATGGTGAGATGTGACCAAAGTACCGGGAGTTCATCCGCTGGAAAACCGCAAAGATGGAAATGCGATATCAGGAAACGGTGGTGAAGCAATTGCGCCAGAAAACGGATGCAGATTTTCCTAAACACAAAAAAGAAATCGAAAATAAAAGAAATAACAAAAAGAAAAACATTAAATCGTCAAAACGCTTCAGCGCAGGGTCAGAAGACGGTATGGAAATTAGAAATGGGAACGACATGGAAGAGGTCCCGCTGTTCCCCGGGTCCCAGACATCAAAGATCAGACCGAAAACCAAACGTTTCTGGCGGCGGAGCAACGTATACGGAAAATGGAAAGGAGGGATTCAGCGGTTTTGGGCTGCAAATCCGGCCCATCGCACCAGTTCGGATTGTCATCCGGAGAGCACCAGATCAGAGACATTTCTGCTTTGACAGCAGAAGGGGGTTCCGCGGTTCATCAAAGCGTGCATTGATTTTGTACGCTGCAAGCACACTCATACAGTCCCCAGCGTCGCTGTTCTGCCCGTTCGTTACTTACATGGTGCCGCTGGCAATACCCCCAACCCGTCTTCTCCCGTGTGCTCGTCCTCGACCGGGCGAAAGCTGTTGTGCAGTCTCTTGCATATCCCTTCTGCCGCGTATCGTCTACTCACTCCCCAGATTGGTCCTTGGCACCGGACTGGATGGACATCCCTGGTCGTATCGGCGAAAGGGGAAAACAGGTCAAGTGACAGAGCCTGGTAAACTCAGTTTTGGCGAGGCTGCTAGCTCTACAGGGCAAACATGGGACGGTGAGAGAGGGGAGGTTTCATGTGCCCAAGGTCGGATATTGCACCGTTGTGCAAGACGCGAATCCAAAAAGGTGATTGCGAGCCCGACAAGATCGCCCGTGTATCGACGGCCGGTTCGAATGAGGCATTGACAGCGGCTGGCTGATTATGCGACATCAAAATGAGGTACCGATGCCTTGCCTTGTGATGTGTCTATCCCCAGGAATGCCACCCCCTTTCTCCGTCCGCGACGGGGTGAAATTTCGGCACAAAAATTAAGCAGAAACGGGAAGCCGGATGCGCATCTGTCGCGTGGCTGGATTTGCAAGGTCCGGGGCTTTCTTCTCCCTGGCCCCTTGCCTGTTGTCAACCGTCACGAGGTCGCTCGGCAGATCAGCGCCTTGGGGGGTGTTTCTGGCAGCTGGCAATACAGTTCTGGCCCGTGTCAGGTGTTCGCCGTGCATATCGTCTCGCTTAACACAAAAGTGCTATTACTTTTTGGAATCGATTGGCCGGTTTGAAAGCTGTGACGTTTAGCCAGCAAAGCTTGAATCTCGATAACAAGCAGAAGAAGGAAGCATTGGCATGCCGTTCGGCTAATGGTGAACACAAGGGCTTGCAGGTTGCGGGCGAGCGGCTCGCTGCCGTTGCAGTAGGGTCGGGTGCTGAAATTTGATCTACTCACCTACTTCTACGCCCGTGTAGGCACGCATCGGCAGCGCCACCAGAAGCCTGGCGGAGTGACGTAGGAGCTGTACGGGCCCGAGCTCTCGGCGTCGTCCAGGTCTGTTTTGGGGTCATCACCTGGCCTGCATCGCCCAATGAGGACTCGGTGAGTCCGGCATTGGCTTGCGGCAGAGGCGACCCGAGTAGAGGTTGCCGAAATTGGGTGAGCCCCCGAACGTTAGCTTGCACCGGGTGTGTGGTGATTTGCGTGCCAATAGATGAAATTGCAATTCATCGAGATCATGCAGGAGTTTTCATCACGATCAGAGGGTGAATGGAAAAGTGAACATCGGGAATGCCATTCCGGACGAAATTGCCTGTAATGGTAACATGGTCGGTGCGTAGCGTCACATGCCTGGGAGCACGTACCGTTGCTACTATAAAATGTGGCTGAGACTTGTGGCTTTGTGTACAACTTCCACACCAAGTACCGAGACCTTTATGTTCTGGCTACTTGATGTAAGCTGACAATTTTATCTGTCTCGGTACAGGTGTATCAAAAGTAAGCATACCAGTGTCAAAGGTACAGTTTGCGCCTTCAGTGGCCTAGACTTATTTATGTGGAGATCAGATATCGGGATAGCTGTCTCACTGTGAGTTTGCAGTTCAGCATGCGATCTTGAGTAAATGTCTCCAAACATATATTCTCAGCATAAATGCAAACATTACTCAGCATGTCGATAGACGAACTGCAAAGACTTGGTCCACTGATATCGACGTTTTAAAACACAAACGATGTTGGAGCATTGGCCCAATGGTCCCCTATAAGTCCTGACAGCCTTAGAACTTGAATGTCTATAAGCGTAACATGTTGTTTTTGGACATGATTCGATATTAGGAGCGAATCTAATAATTCATGGGCAATGGTTATAACGCTGTTACAGCAGAGGGTAGACAGATTGAAAGAGAAACAACAACTCGTTCACTGCTAAGGACCTCGGTTTTTTGCCTACAAAAGGATGAACAAGAAAGAAACGAAAAATAAGAAGAAACTAAAAAGAGAAGAAAATCTCGTCCAAGCGATTCATATTGCAGGCGAAAAACACGACTTCCCAGATTAACCTGGAGATTGTAATTAAATACACCAAGAAACTGCCTTCCCACGATTCTCTAATCACGCCATATCATAGATCATACCCAAATAAGTAAACTTACCATTCACACTTTGACGATACCACAAGGCACGCAAGCAAATGGGTACCCAAAACTGAATCTCTTCTTGGAAGTACATTCAGTAGCGGTGCGTGTAGTGTACGTCGTCAACGGAACGCACCACAATCGGATCCGGCTCCACACCCGACAACCATAGCACGTCTCACCAAAAAAACAAACTTCGTCGGCCCCACTCCCGGAGCCGGAGGGACCCAGCATCGGCATCACTCCCTACCCACCCTGAAACAACAAGCAGCCCTTCAGAATTCCAAACTCGGGACAAATCTCCCCCCCCCCCGCGCACGCCAGAAACCCACAAGGCTACTTCAACACGGAAGTACCGGCCGATGTCCAAGACCCCCTCGCAGCCAGCCTATGCATCATCAAAAAGACGGGAAGGGGGCATCATCTGAAGAAACAGAATTAGCTCTATCTCGTCTCTGCATCCCTGACGTGGCACGGCGGTTCGGAGAGTTGAGCGGAGGCGGTGGCGATTAAGAAATGTTCGCGTGACAAACGTCCTTCAAACCGTCCGTCTCTCATCTGTGACTAACGTCATCGGGGTGTAAGTTGCCTGTCGGTCTGGCCGTGGGTGTGTGTGTGTGTGTGTGTGTGTGTGTGCTAAAAAGGCAAGGCGAAAAACGATGTATGTGTAAGCGAAATCCAAGTAAAAGACGCCCGATGCCATTGCCAGGTTGGCGGCGCTAGATATGCCGTTTTTCATTGCCGGCAACCGTCAACTCCCATTCATAGGGGTCTGTCTGATATTCGCCGTCCTGGGGGGGGGGGGGGGGAGGTGAAGGTGCTGACGTTGGATGGCGAAGGTTTACTGGGAAGGCATGCCAGCTAATCTAGATCCCGGGGGTTCGCTAGAGAGCCAAGTCCCCGGCCAAATTTGAAAACACGAGATGGGACTTGACAGGAATCCGATCCGTCTAGGAAACGCCAGGAGGATATTGAAAACCTGTCCGTCCGTCTATTCGGAAAACTAAAGCAGCCAGCATTCCGCGTTGCCCGAAGGCCTTAAAAAAAAACCCGAGTCCGAACGTAGATTTCGAGGTGACAAGGACTTTTATTTCGCCCACCTATTAATACCAGGGCTTGCATCGTCAACCAGAAACGGATATACTGTGATATTTCGCCCGATACGTGACGGCCGGGACGGTGATCGATGCTTTTCCACCTTTCCCGGCAGTCAGCTGCAGGACGTAGCCGCGGATCGACCAAGCACCCGGCGGGAAAGCAATAAACGTGCGGGGTGCGGAATTCCGGGGTAACGGAGGCGCCCCATGTGACCGGGTGATGACGGCGGCTTTTACTTTTACTTTTTTTTTCTCTTTGAAGTTGGGCTACGGACGGAAAGATAGAGGGCGTGAGGGTTTTACACGTGGAATTTGCGGGGGAGAAAACAGACGTAGCTATAAAATAAAATAAAAACATTAAAATAAAATAAGAAGACATATTGCCGGCTTGGAACATGGACACCCTCAACCGCCACGCGCAGCGACGAGGTGCATTTCGTCTCATGGTGAACATTAAAGGGCCCTTGAAAGATTACCGGCCACCTGCCCTGCCTGACTCGTCCTACCTGCGAAGCCGACTCGAATCCCTCCTCCCCCCGCGCCGCCGCCACACCCTCTTCTTCGCGCGTTCTACAGGGTTTCCAGGTTTCGATATACGACGCACCCTCCTGGAGTAGTCTCAACTCTCACGCTCCCCATCCTAGTGACCATCAAATGCTGATGACGTGGTTCCTGTCTCTTGGGATAGCACCATATGTCCCATCACACGCCAGCTCGACATGGAAGGGGGGGATATGAGGAGCGGAAAGTAAAAAAAAAAAAAAAAAAAACAAGACAGAGAGGATGGGACACAGCGGAAATCAGGTAGTATTAGAGTTTGCGCTTATGCTCCCCTGCTGTAATGAAACGGCTTTCCCAGTCATGAACCACCCAAACCTCACTTTACTTCTTCCCCTCCCCAGCAAGCCAAGCAATAGAATAGAACGGCGTTAAAAAGGGGGGTGTGATTCGAACCAAATTCAGGCCATTGTGCGACTGGCCCTGTTCAGAATTTGGACGAACGTCCTTCACCCTGCTTCGGTCGGGCATTCACTCACCGAATGACGAGAGTAGACCGAAAAGAGATGGCTGGTCAACATTTATCCTTGGCCAGTGCTCCTTTCACATGCTCACGACGGTATGGGCACAGGTTACCACTTGAAGCAACTCTCGCCGGTGCTCTGCAATTTCGACGCGTTTGATGTTTCCCAATCGCCCTCGGACCGTAGATGGCGCAGCATTGGAAAATCTCCCGCCGGCCGCCCAGCAAATGACTTGAAGAAAATACGTTGCGGGATGATGCAGTATGGTATCCAACGTGAACTGCATCGCTTTTGGTAGTTGCGACGGGGGTGGGAAGGGGGGTGGTGTGACTGAGCTTGTGTGTTGGGAGTGAGACACTGCCACGCACCAACAGTGCTTCTTTTGTTCCCCGTCAACCGGCGCAGCGGGATTTCTCGAGATGGTATGTCTGCCCGGCGAGCTCATCACCAACCCATGGAAATGAGATATGATGAACCCGGCCGCGTGGGAAGGTTAGATTGCAGCAACGCAGCCCCAAGACCTGGGATACACCGAGGCATTACTAGCGATGTGTGAGTGTCGGCCTGGAGCCCAAAGTGAGAAGGAGCATCTTGGATAGTCAAGGGGAGGGGGTGGTGCAAAAGACGAAAAGCTTCATTGTGGTCCATCGGGTGTGTACGGTGACTGGAGCGCATTTAGAGCAACGCTAGAACCAGGTTCTCTCGCGGTGCCCTGGCAAGGTCAAATTTCCCACCATCGTGGGCTGCTGCAGTAGACCGAACCGGGTTTCATAGCGTAGCTCACCAAGCACGTGTCGGTGTTGGTGTCAGCGACGATCTCGTCTCCCTCGACCGTAGAAGAGTTCTAGAAGATAGCTAGGGTGACCTTCCGTCCCAGGCAATCAGGGCCGGATCCTACAAAGAGGGGCCGGGAAAAGAGGGGGTCGGGGAAAGAAGCCGGCCGCAGTCGAAGAAATTAAAGGGAATCCTTGGTAAGAGTGGGTCAACCACACCCTTTTTTGTTCGGGCCGGGAGAGACAGGGGAGAGACTGTGACCAGAAAAAAAAAACACAATTAAATAATCGAATAGAATATTCCGAATTAGGAAATCGAGATGGTGGTGTGAAGTGACAGGATGGCGTAATGGAGGGGGGGAAGCGATAGCGGCTTGAACAAAACCCTTGGCGAAGCCGGAACCGAAGAACCATGGGGCCCAAGCCAAACGAAGAGAGGGAGGGGGGAAGAACCCCGAATTGATACCGAATCCTCTTTTTCCCATTTTTTTTTTAATTATTGTTTTAATTGGTCTCTTTTCTTTTCTTTTCATTCTTTGTGTATCGACGAGATGGTGCCGTGAAAGGACCGACATTGAAAAAAGTCTGAAGCAGGGGGAGGGGGCGACGTAAGATGTCATTGAAGGTTATTTGGGTCTCGTTGTTTTTTACCCGAGTTAGGACGACTCCTCCTCAGCGGGAAAAAAAAAAATTGGATAGTAGTAGGGCAGACAGACAAACTCACAAGACAAGGAACTGTGGCCATGCGGGAAAAAAGGACGAAATGGGCGAGCATTGTCGCGAATGGTGTCGAGCGAACCGACGAATCAGAGCAGCTCTTTGGTCAAGCAGTAAACATCTCCAAAGCTCCCAAGGTCAGAGAAGCGTTCGACTGCAGTCGCGCTGCCGACATGGCTTCCTCATCTTTCGTTCGATGCTTAATCGGTCGCAATCAGTCAATGCCTTGTCTGCACCTCCCCCCTCCTTCATACAGTTCACGTCCCGAGATGGAAAGATAAAAAATGAAATAAAAATATGATTGATGTGTGACGCCCGGCTGGGCATATGCTGTGTATCGTAATCGCGTGCAGAAGCCGGAACCCCCTGCACAAACAGGTTACACTGCACCCGAGCTGCCCGCGGCAGTTGGTTAGAGCTGCTTTCCTAATTACGTCTGGGCAATTTTTCTTGATGGACTGGCGCTTCCGATTTCCTGGCCACCTCACTTACCGGTAGTCTTGTGTTGGTCTCGAGGCGACTAGTCAGCGAAAGTGTAGCTGTCATCTGGCCGGGCTGAAACTGTAGGCGGGAAGAACACCGGGTTTATCTCGTAGCGTTGAGCTACTAGTACGTACAGTCAATCGTTAGAGACAAGCTCATGTACCTCTACAAAATGGCTAGAAGTATCTTGGAAGGTACCTCAAGTACCGCCACACATGAGTCGTTTGCCATACTAGAAATACGCCAGGTTCATGACAAGCAGACACCGTGATCAGATAAATATTGACAAAAAAATATGAAATTGAATTAAAAAAAAAAAAAAGGAAATTGATTGTCTAGAAAACAATGTTTGTTACACTACACTGCACTGACCACAGGTATAGAACCGGGTACAGCACGCGTAACAGCTGTCTTGGATGTTGGCAGCGGGTAGTGATGCTCCAATAGAAATGGGGTCAGTATGACATCAACTTCTCCATCGGCGATGTCAGACAGATGCCAGCCTTTGGCATCAGCCATTGCCTCACATCTCGTTCTCGCCAGATTGCCATTCCCCCCAGCCCTTTGCGATTTCGGTTGTCCGGGGTTATTGAGAAGAAGGGGGGGTGGGAAAGCATAGAATAACCCCATGCCAGATCTCTAGATCCAAGTTTGATAGATTTCGGAATGCTGGGGGAGCTATGGTGATCGAAGCCGGGTCACTGGACACGGTTTCCATGCGTTTGATGTGGAGAGGCCGATTTGAGTGGTTCTCGAGTGCAAAATACACACGAACTCCTTACCCATCGATGATGTCGTCGTGTGGAGAATAAGGGTCCAAGAAAGGGTTCAGTTCAAGCAAAGAGCAGAAAAAGTCTGATCGGAGCAGCTTCAATCCTGGCCCAGAAGCTCGAACTCAATGGACACTCCCCCTCCCTCACACGCAGAAAGGGTCCACGTTTTCGTCAATGGGGGCCACAACTTGACAAACAACCTGGAAGTTGGTGATACTTGATACATGGCCATGCGGGGGAATGGATTCATGACTTGGAATGAGAGACTGGACGAGTCAACTGACTTGAAGAACAAGATGATGTTGTCTTTTTTTCTTGTCGTTGACAGCTAAGCTACAAACCAGTTCCGGGAGGACACGGGAGGTGATCGGCGGTTGGTTCTGGAGCCGATGGGATCCAGATGTCGGATCCGGGGTAGGAGATAACGTCATTGCCCCGTGGGTTCTTCCCCGGAAATGTTTGTTTCTAGTGGCCCTTGTGGCCATGCCAATCGTTACGGGAACAGGAAGACATTTCAAACGAATTTGACTCCGTTTTGACGTCTGTCGGACTCCAGAAGTGTAAGAACATTGGGCCAGACTAAGAAACTGTCCAGAAAAAAACAAGATAATCAATACAGACGTGAATAAAAAAAAAAAGATTAACAAAAATATTAGCGCATTGGAATTTCCAACACACCCATGTTTTTCTTTTTTCCCTCTTTTTTTTGGACCGGGTCCGTATGAAACCTCTTGGAGCACATTTACAAACCCCCCAATGGAGCAAGTAAACACAATTCACACCCCCTCCATCTGCCTTCTGGGAAGAGCTCATGATATGCAGCGCATGTTACAGGAACCCAACAAGGGGCAGTAGAAAGTGGGGGGACGGCGCGAAGTGCGAAGCGGAAAAATAGAGTCCAAGATGCAGCTCAAAAGTCGGTGAAGATGCCATGCTGGCTGCCACGACAGCACTGAGAACAGAAATAGGGCCTGGGGAAGAAAAGAGTGTGGTGGGTTTTCTGGTCACCTTAGTTAGGGCCGGAGAGGAGGGGGGGAGCACACAGCAACCACCACGAGACAGAGGGGCAGGAGAAGAATCGAGAAGAAGCGCCAACCAGCAGAGACAACAGAACAGAGACGGAGAGGAACTAGCTAGTTGGTTATGGACAAAGCGGGTAGTGCTGCTGTTGCCCTGCAGCACCTGATGATATTCCCGCGTTGGCCTTGAGCCTTACGCAGGCCCCCTGCCATGCCATTTGCCCAAGTTGAGACTGGCGCTGCCATACATCGCCCCCCCCCGCGGTATTGACTCCCCCGAACCTGGGCGGCATACTCCGTCGTAGTAGCGCTGACCCCAGTGGTGTTCGGAGAAGTTCTTCAGTCACAACCGCCAACCAAGTCGCGGCGCTTCTCATGCACCCAAACGGGTATCCTCAACTGTGATGACTCTTCAACCTGTATCCGTACTAATTATGGGCTAATTTTCTGGTCCAGGCGTCGGGATAGAGATGAGATAACCCGACAGTGGACGGGATGGTGGAACCCTCATTCTGCAGTTTCAAACGGTAGCGGTGGAGCTTTCCTTTTTTTATTTTTTTCGATTTTTATTTTTCGATGCAGAACCGCCAGTTAGGACAATACACGGATACTATGGTAGTTTACGATTCCATCTCGCAGCAAGCCAACTTAAAAAGTGAGGCCTGACCTTTTTGTTTCCTACCCCGGTCAAGACAGGCCGGCGGTCAACGATGGGACAACTCAACAACCTCCCCCTCCAAATGCCCCTCCAGACCCCTAGGCGCTAAGTAGCTAAAGACGAGTAAAAAAACATATACTATGTTAGTAAAACAGTTGTCACACTACCCTTCGAACACGCGCTTTTCCCCAGGACCCCTGCCCGGCAGCTGAAGGCTAGGCCCTTGGGACCAGCCTTAACCGCCATCACCATCCTCGTCATACCAAGGCGGTGAGGGCATCTTTTATCCTTCTCTTTGACAGAAAACACCACATTCAGCTAGCGATGCCTGTACTGGAAAAGGGCACATGGGGAGGGGTGGCCAGCAGAGCATTTACAAAAAAAAAAAAACAGAGTGCCTCGCGGCCAAATCCCGTGGACTGTCCCCACAAACCAGCCTTGCCACCGCTCTCACTTATTACGTGCAGTTTAGACGCGGGGTCCTCTTCATGCGCATATCTGGTCGAAAGGGTAAAGAATAGAGTCATCAGATACGCGAACTAATTACTAATCCGTCAATTTCTCTTTGCTTCTTCTCTCCGCAGCGGGGGGTTGTCTCCGTCGAAACGTGAGGGGGGCCGGCCGAGTCTTCATA